GACGCTCGGATGGATCCTGTCGGGACCGATCTATGAGGCTGCATCAAACCCCAGGACTTACACTCACCAGTGCCATATTGAGGACGACCTCACGGGACTGGTACGCCGATTCTGAGAGCAGGCCGACAGTGCCGACCTTTAACAGATAATTTAAAAACCGCTTTGAATTTCGGCTGCGCGTCAACGATAGCAGCAATAATGATGTCTAATCATATGATATGGAGAGGAAAAATGCAAAACATGATACAAAGAACGACCTCGAATTGTCAGAAAAGGCACGAAGAGCAATCCGCAACACCAGCAGCGTTTTATAATGAAACGGAGTCGTCGACTCTCCAACGGCTGAATTTGAACCCGAACACGGAGATCTTATCGGAGTTGCAGTCAAGTACGACAGACTCGTCGGAAAGCGAACAGGGGAGCGTATCAGAGGTCCTCTTGGCAATGGAAAGTAATGTAGAAGATTGTGGTATTACAGCAGACTCTACTTTGCTATTAAGGGCTGCCAGAAGTGGTAATCTGGGTTTAGTCAATTGGTTGCTTAAGCACCGTACAGACGTGAACACCCGTTCCAGTTTTGGAAACACACCCTTTGTGTATGGATGCATCGGTGGACATGAAAAGGTTGTACGTGTCTTATTACAAGCGGGAGCTTATGTTGAAACTCGTAACAAGAAAGATCGCACACCTCTAATGGAAGCAGCAAAAGCTGGTCATGTTCGGGTTGCAAAAATCTTATTTGAACATGGTGCTAACATCGATACTTGTTCCTATTTTAAAGAATCGGCATTAAAATTAGCCAACTATCATAGACATTTAGAGATGAGTCAGTTTTTAACGGAAGCTAGCACAAATCAGAGAGCTGTGCGTCGACTTTCTGTGCTAAAGGGCTCGAGTTCAAATCCAGCCAGAGTCAGAAAACAGCGAATGTATTATTTTCGATAATTCGCGATCACCACCTCTCGGAAGGCAATGGCAAACCACCGAGAGTATCTTGCCATGAACGCCTCTCCAATCTATGCCGTTCGGAACCGGCGTTAAACTATAGGTCCCATATATCTCCGATATGTCTAATCTTGATGTATCAAGGGACAAATCCTGAAGCGAATATCTATTGTTAATAGATTTATCAACAAGTTTATAAGTCAAATTATTTATGCATCACCATACACTTACACAAGACACAAAACACTCCACTTCACAACTACACACACACACACTAAACAGCACACCTTAAACCGCATCTAAAGTTTCACGAAACGCTCGCCATTGCAACGTTACGCACACGCGTTTATTACGGCGACTCGCAATTAATAAAGCGTGAATGGAGAACGCATTCCATCGCGTCCTACTGCGCCCCGCCGGCCGCGCGCCCGACTTAACGTTACGTGATCAAGCACTCGATCCGATATCTTTGACGTGACAGTGTGTGATTTATAAAACGGAAACGAACGTTCGCGAAAGTTAAGGTAGCTCGCCTTTCTTTAGATTCCATCGCTTGTGGATCGCGATTTGCAAGTTTCCGGCCGCTTGCCGTGAATATTCGTCGCTCGCGAGTATTCGTCTCGAAATTACTCGACTGCGCGCAAGATTGTATCCGTCGCTTGCGGAGTTCGCTCCCGGTAGCTCGCCGGCGCAAGAACGCTATTAAACTTAGTATTAATTTTAACCCGCAAAGAACTTGTAAATATATTTATTTGGTTTAAATATAGACAGACGGTTTTTACAAACACTTTCGTGTCCGATTCATTTCGTTCCTCGCGCTCGCGTTCAATCGCGCACATAATTACGTTATCGGTCATGATGTCACGTCATTATAGGTTAGAATAGAGACACTCTAGGTTGGAATGATATAGTATATATTTCTTTCTCTCTCGTAGGATTCACTTATTCACTCGTCCAACTTACAAAAAACACGCGACATTGTACTTTGGTATATTTCAAACTTTTTTTGTTAATAACTTTTTAATAAGCAACGAGCGACGATTAAATTAGAAGAAAAAGTTACTCAGAATTATGTCCTTGACAACATATATCAAGATCAAGGTCATTGGGGCTGGATCCCCTTTTCGCTATACCCAAGTAGCAAGATGACGTTAAATGATGTCTTAATAACGTTTTAATGACGTTTCTAACGTCAATAAGACGTCATTAAAACGTTATTTGACGTCATCTTGCTACTTGGGATATTTACCCCATTTCTCGTCATATGACGTCAGTCGAATAAATAATGACATAACACAGACATGATATTTCTGACGACATATTATCGTCACAGAAATAACATCATTTAATCGTCTTTTTAAGGTTATTTACTGATCAATTAACTAATGTAAATATTAAAATTAACGTATTTATATAAGGAAAATAATAAATATTTTATGTTACTTATAAAGTTTACATGACTTTCTGTTCAATACCCTTGAAAATACGGTATTATTATATTACAAAAGCCGCTAGTTCGGTTATTTACCGCTATGCGACGCGCAATGCGCCCCATCTCGTATTTGAGTTTCAGTCATGAGAATTATATAAAGCTTGCAAAGAGCAACTGGCAGGAGATTAAAAATGTAATTATTCCTATCAGTTTAATTTCTGATCCCAATATAGGGAATTTAGATATCAGACTGATAGTTTAAAAATTGGGTAGATAAATATCCGAAACAGTTAAAATCATCCGTTTATATGTATATATGTTACGTCCAGACTCGGGGAAGGATGAGTCGACGGAAGGGCGCAACAACTATCTTTTATTATCCCGAAATTAAACGTCTCGTGGCGTTTGGAATCGGGTCGAACGAACTGACAGGTCTGAAAAGCAGGTAAACGACTGAGTCGCTATTACACTGTTTTCGGAAGTTCGCTCGGCGGTCCCTTTTCGGTCAGAGAATTTAATCTCTTTTACGCGGGATGGGACCAAGTGCGATCTTTCGACTAAAGGAATGAGTGGGGGTTAATAATGAGTTATTTTGATTTTAAATTAACAAAATGTAAATTTATTAATTTTAAAGTAAATGGTGGATATACATGATTATATAAAAAAAAAATAAAAATATTGTATGATGGGGATATATGATTATATATAAAAAAAAATAAAAATATAATATTAGTTTTCGTCAGAGTGTGTGTGAGTGTGTGTGTTAGTTCGCGGGCGTTACATTAATACGGAGGACATCAGTCAGAATGCAAGAGAAAGATTTCATCGTTAATATTTAGGTTCTGACTGGTTAATACAATATGAAGATTTAATTAATAATAAAAAAAAACATGTGTGCGTGTGTGAGTGAGGTAGGAAGCAAGGATCATGGAGAGAGAGTGAAAGGAGCTTGGGTGTAGTGAGTCAGCCTTACTCCTAAATCTTTTTAATTTGACGATAAGATTCGCGAACGGTCGCGTCAACGCCTTCCGAGTCCTGCGATGGACTTGATTCATGGGCCGATATATATATATTTTCCCAGATCTGGTTTTCACTACGAAACCAGTGTAAATAATAAGGTTTCAGTCGCGTATATACGTAATAATTGAATAGTTGAAGCTTACTTTTTGCTGTTGCTTCGATAATGAAAAACGATGATTTTTCCTCGGCTCTACGTCTCGTGGTGCGTTCGGACCTTCGGTTGATGAATGCAAATGGTGGTGAGACGCCGCTGGAAGACACTGGTTTTCTCAACTAACTCGCGAGTTACAACACAGAGCAAGAGTATTCGGATTGAAAGTTGCAAAATAAGAGAAATGATGTGTTCACGAGTTCTCTTTTTATAATTTTTTTTTGGGGCGTATTCTAATTCTAAGAGTAGGAATCTTCCAAAACTTCGACGAATTAAATTTGCGCAGATGTGGGGATTTTTCAATCTTAGCAAATTAAAAATATGCCAGTGTCTTCGTTAGACGGGGTGTTTCTCCTACTTTTCACGTTTTACTCGTAGTGAACGTCCATTGGTGAGTTCGATATTCGTTCGAAGATTTCTTGCACGTGTTTAGTTTAGAAAAAAGATCCTATTCTTCTATGATAATTTTATTGCTATTGGTGCAGCTGTGTTTATTGAATATTTGTTGGAAAATTTTATTATTATAGATGCAGCTGTGTTTGTTGGGTATTTCGTTAGAAAATTTTATATTATCTTGAGGAGACCGGCATGTTTTCATCATCGATCTTTCACGTTGATCTGTTTACTGAGCGGTTCGTTTGTCTCACCAATCGACGATCATTGCCGACACTTTCATTTTAACGTCACTTTTACGTCGTCTCAAAGGTGAATTTGACGTAACCAGTGACTAAAAAACGGCGTTATAATGACGACATCTTGCTATCTGGGTAGTAACCATTCGTAACAATCTGTTTGAATTTATAAGTGTATAAATCATCATATAATTATGTAACGGTTCACCTTTCCCGTACGCCGCGGATCAAGGCTCGCCGGTGCCAGGATTCGGGAGAAGGGGGAAACTCCAACTTACTGTCCTCGTATAAGCGGTTTAAATAATTAGGTTTATTCCAACGGTTATTATAAAAGAGAGTTAACACTGATAACTATGCGAAGCAGCATGCAGAAACAGTGCGTACAGAGTTTCGCGCGTGAGCAGTTGTCATTCATAATGCTACATGCAAGCGCGGTGCGCACAGAGTTTCAGCCTACCTAGATGCCCGCGTGGGTAAATAACTTAAAGAAAGACGCGGTAATTAAATTACTGGCCAAGCACGGACTCGAAACCGTAGGCACCCTTGACGAGCTACACCGACAGCTCCGTCGTTTTGTTACCGATAACCCGACTCTTTTCGCGTCCCACCCCACGACCCCCGAAGACACAAAGATGCCACTATCAAATGAAGGCCCGACGGCCGGCACGACCGGAGCAACCACCGTCGACCCGGCTAAGGCCATGAATCAAATCCGGAAGTGGGGGTGCCACTTCGACGGGAAGGACCCGCTGGCGTTCCTGGAACGCATCGACGAGTTGAAACGAGGATACAGCTATAACGACGAGCAGTTGCTCTTGGGGCTGCCCGAACTTCTTCGCGGCGAACCACTGATGTGGTACCGCAACTGCCGCCATGACTGGACCCTGTGGGCCGAGTTTTGTTGGAACTTCCGCGCCCAGTATCTGCCCAGCGAGTACTCATACCAACTAAGGAGTACGATCCAAGGGCGGAAGCAGCAACCACGTGAGGTGTTCCAACAATTCGCCACTGAGGTGATGACCCTCATGCGGCGCGCAGGCGGCTACACGCCCCAAGACCAGCTCGAGCAGCTGTACGCCAACATGCGCCCGGAATATCGCCTCTACATCCGAAGAGGCGAGATTACTAACACTAGCGCGCACAGCGCACGAGTCACCGATATCGAGGTGATCGAAAATCTGCGTCGGCAGGAGGAGCGTAAGACTCCAGGACCGACAGTGGCAGCCGCTGCCTACAGCCAAGATGACTGCTGCTGGAGATGCAAGCAGCGAGGACACACCCGGCAGGATTGCCGCCGACCGCCGAGAAAGTTTTGCTCCCGGTGCGGGAAAGACGGGGTTCTGACTCGAGATTGTCATCCCTCGGCGGGAAACGGACCGCGGGCCGGAACTGTCGCGGCCAGTACCCCGCCCGAATCCGAGTAGAATTTACTCCGAGACCGCATATACAGATCCGTGTCGCCCGCCGAACAATACGGGCCCTGCTCGATTCCGGTTCGGAACACCAATTCTCCGTTCTGCCGAACCTTAGTAGCCCCATGCTAATAGGCATAGATCTATGGGCCAAGTTGCGGGTTACGCTGCCACCGCCAAAAGAACCGACTGACAACTTGACCACCCTGGGAGTCATAACCGTCGGCAGCATCGCAGGAAGATCCGAGGAAACCCAACGCCTGGAGAGGTTTCTAGCGACCGAACTACCGAAGTTTGAGCGGATTCAAGGGCCAACCGATCGGGTACAACACCACATTCGGTTAAAGCCCGGA